AAGAGAGAGAGAGAGAGAGAGAGAGAGAGAGAGAGAGAGAGAGAGAGAGAGAGAGAGAGAGAGAGAGAGAGAGAGAGAGAGAGACAGACTATATGGACAACGACAAAGGAGGCTGGTTGTGATGATGTGCCGAACGAGCAGCAGAGCGTGCGTGTGGCTGGGCGGGGCCTCGCATGCGACGCGCGCACGTGCCCTGCCGCCCTGCCTCACTGCGAATGGAAAGGGACAAAATCGCTTTTCCGTGGAAAGTTGCGGTACTGTCAGAGCGACATTGTTATCATATGGAGTCATAAAAAGATCAGACTGTAACATGCCTTTTCCGTGGAATGTTGCGGTACGGTCAGAACGACCTTGTTGGACCCGCTGGGGTCGCAATAGGATTAGGCTGCAACATGCCTGAAGTATGTGGACGCCTTTGTGACGCGCCAGCCACCCATTTTTCGTCCATCTCCGAAAAGTAATCTTTCCCTTCCAGATGTCAGGTTTTAGATTCTGGTTTCCAGACATCCCTCTGACGGCCCTTTGACTTTTCTGATCCGATCGAACCAAGACTCTGAATTTGGACTTCCTGCGCAAGAGCCCAAAACGGCCCAAAACGACCATTTTGGTCCGAGCGGGCCCAGACAAGCCAACGGACCATCGCAGAAATACCCTGCAAAGCAAAACAATCGAAGATGGTCCAAAAATGGGTAGCCGGGGGGCTCACGCTGCTTGGCTGATCCTTCCATCCTTGTCTTTGCCTTCCGAACTGATAGGAACGCTGCATGAAAAATTGGAGAAATGTCGACATTTTGTTTTATCTGTAGTCGCACGTGTGGAAGAAAAACAAAATAATGATATGATGTTGTGTGCGACTCCCTCCGGCCGGGCCGGGCGGTCAACCGAGTGAGTGGCAGGCTAATCCCGGGAGGCCAATCTCAGCGGCAATCTGCTGTGTGAAAGGAAAGGAGCCCTCCGAAGAGCGGGCCCGGGATGGGGGGGACGGGGGGTGAATTGAATACCACGTCGGAGTGGGCTGGGCACTGGGGGTGGACACGGGACTGGGGCCTAACCTGGCCGTATGTACCGGAGATTCGCTCATCTCCTGACGGCGACATGGCGACGATGCGCCGATGCGGTCTTGTTTCGTAAGAAAAACACAGTGACACAAACGAGCAAAAAAAACAAAAAGGTGCCAACGAAATATGTATAAAAGTGCGTTTCACCAAGGGTTCGATGCAGTTTCTTGGAGTCATGATACCTCACACCAATTTTAATTTTCGTGGACACGACGAAGAAAGATACGGGCAGCGATTCGATGTACACTCTTACGTCCAGGAAGCGTTAGCCGCCCCCTCCCCGCCCAAGAGTTGCTTGTGGAAACCGAGCAAAACGTTGCTTTATTCCATAAGCTTTGTTGTTGACCAAACTGCTTCACTGTAAGAAAAGCCTACAATTTGACAACAATCTGGTGCTGTCAATTATTAACCAGTAGAGGATTGTGAAATTTTCGTTGTATTTTGTGGGGTGAAAGCACTATTGTTATTTCAAAGTACAACGCTGAATTGTACAGCAAGTAGCTGTACACTACAAGTAAAGGAGTGACCTTTTTCGCTCCCAGGAGAGCGATATCAGTGAAGCCAATTTGACGACTCTTGGGAGAGCGATATAAATTACATCGCTCGTTTGCAATAACTTTTCGCGACATTTTTGGTTACGAATAAGACTAATTTTGAGTCATTTTCGCAAACGTCGCTCGTTTAGGGTCGTCTCTGCGACATTTTCTGTTACGAAGAAGACTCAGGTTGAGTCATTTCGCAAAAATCGCTCCAACAGAGCGATGACGCCTATATGTCGCTCTATTCGGGAAAGAAAGGTCACTCCTCGTTTTACAGTGTAGGTGTTTCTAACAGTGTTGGAAACCGCCCGGAAAACCGTGGCATGCTCGGCTGCTGTGGGAACCCCAAACCCGTAGAGCGCCAAACAGCAACAACAACCGCTCGAGGCCAAGCAGGGGGGGCGGCGAGCCGAGGGTCTGGAGGGCCTGGAGGGTCTGGAGGGTGGAGGCCGCGCCACGACACTCTGCGCCGGCCAGAGTCCGAGGCGGGACCGCTTCAAGGCCGGCGCCACGAGCAGCGCCACTTTGCGCGCGCTGTCTCAATATGTACAGGACGGTCAGCAGTAGCGCCGGGATGGGGGGAAGAAAGAAGAAGAAGAAGAAGAAGAAGAAGAAGAAGAAGAAGAAGAAGAAGAAGAAGAAGAACTTCTTTTCATCCCCATCCCAGTACTGCCCTCCACAGCTGCAGTCGTACTGCGCTTCAACTTTTCCATCTCGTCCCTCCCCCCCCCTCCTCCGGCCCGCCTCTATATCACTATCCCCGTCAGTCTGGTGACATGCCGTATTGCCGTGGCGAAAATCCGCTGACAAATACACTATAACCGTAGGTACCAACGGGGAACTCGCCCATGTACGTACACGGAATGGCCTCACGAGTTTCCCTTTCCCATGTTTTTTTTGTGTGTGTATTTTGAGTATTTTCATCGAAACAGATCGCAAGCCACTTTTAGACGTGAAATCAAAGTTACATTTTGCTGGGTGTTCTATGCACTGTTAAAAAAACGCAGAACTTCACGAAGAATTCGTTGTGAAAAATGTTTGCCACAACTCTTTGTGAAATCACAACTCTTCTTCGTGGTCAAAAATTTATCAACATCATAAATGATTACGATTGGTTCACAACTATTTTTAAGTAAGATAGAAAAATGCACTATTTTTGACCACACAGAAGTGTTGTGATTGCACAGTTGCTTCGTATCGTGAAAGTGTTGGGAAATCACAAAATATTTTTTACAGTGTGGGGCTTGAAAAGATCACCGCGATCGGAGTTATTCGCTGAACTGGCTGCGCCACTTGCCTGCGAGTGGTGGCCGCGCAGATTGTAGTTGGTGCGGAGCGGCGCGTCGGCGCCCCGCTTGCAGTGGCTCGACGTGAAGGTCACGCCCACGATGCCGCGCACGTTGCCCGTGGCCAGCCAACCCTCCTGGTAGTAGTTGTGGCGGTTGAGCTTCCAGCCCTCGTCCTGGAACAGACAGCATTATTATTATTACTTTTTGTCATACCATCATCTCAAAACGCGTAAGGCTGTGTGTTCGCCTACTGAGTTGTTTTTCTGGTCGTTCCCCGTAAAAGCTCGTGCGAAATAATCTGTCACAGCACCAAGTGATATTATGCAATCGAACAACAATTTGAAAAGAAAAATGTGTATTCAAAATTAACAATTTTAGTACGGTATTGCTTTGTCGCTGAGACTTCAACAATTGTAGACTACTGACAAAAAAATCGTCGCCTCATTACAAAAAATCAGAACTGTTATAGTGCAAAAACAGATGCATCCCCCGGTGGCAATCTCTTTCGTTCCATACATTTGCCCCCCTCCCACCTCATGCTCGATGCGTTGCACTGGCGAGCCATCGCAAGCGATAGCGCACGCGCGCTCATTGTTGGCCCGCAAAAACCGCGATGGCTTCGACTCGCATTGCTAGCCTACCACTGCGATTTGCAATAATCTGCGCGTCCCTGCTCGCTCCATACGCACGACAGGCTGTTCGGTACGGTATTATTATTACTCTCAACACGAAACTGCCTAAAACAGTCCTTTGTCGTTGAAACTGCACAACTGCTACTGTTGCAAAAACTGTCGTGATTTTACAAAATTTTCTTGGTTCAATGTCTATTACAAAATTTTTATTTCTAACAAATTGAAAAAAAAACAACACAAAAAACATCGCTATGTTACGGATTGCTTTCTGGACTCCAAAGCTTTAATTAAAAAGTTTAAAATTTATATATATATTGTCAAATTTTATGAGCCGAGAATTCCCGATTGTTACAAAATGTATATTTGTCACCTTACGAAAAGTTTCGAAAATTTACACTTTGCGAAATACACTCTGAAAACTCAACAGTGTACATTGTATGCTGAAAAATCAGCGATCATTGATGATTCCTGATATATCAGTGTACATGGAATGATTGCTGATAATATCAGCAATCATAAATGATCACGTTTAGGTTTTTGGCTAATATTTCCTTTCAGACGGATATAATCGGAAAATGGATAGCATTTTCAGATTCCTCGTGAAAAATGCTTTCAAACGAGCTACTATGTGATAGGGTTCAAATTGACCGCTACCAAACTTGTCTTACATTACCGACATTTTCGAGAGGCGGACCATTTTGGTTGTGAACCCTATCACACAGTAGCTCGTTTAGTACGGTATTGCTTTGTTGCTGAGACTTCAACAATGGTCCGCCTCTCGAAAATGTCGGTAATGTAAGACAAGTTTGGTAGCGGTCAATTTGAACCCTATCACACAGTAGCTCGTTTGAAAGCTTCTTTCACGAGGAATCTGGAAATGCTATCCATTTTCCGATGATACCCGTCTGAAAGGAAATATTAGCCAAAAATAACCTAAACGTGATCATTTATGATTGCTGATATATCAGCAATCATTCCATGTACACTGATATATCAGCAATCATTCCATGTACACTG